CATCTATATCTTTCCTTGGCGTTGTATAATTAATATTTAGTGGAACAAAACCAGTTTCGAATGCTATTTTTACCTAATAGTTATAATAACAGTTCTGGTGTAAATTTGACTAAATTTGTAAAATGTCGATTAATCATACATTATGTACATGGGCAGTTTGATAAGTGTCAGTAACTTTTTAAAAAAAGACTATGTTGAAAAATAAATCAAAGTGCATTGCGGAATAAGCATGTAAAATCTGCCCTTGCATCAATCGAGCTCAAATTGGTGTCATTAGTTGGCACTCCTGAGATGTAAAACTTCCCCAAATATTAGCCTTGAAATTGCATTTTTTGGGGGAGTTATGGAGGGGGAAAGCGAAATAAAAAAAGTGGTTTTCTTCGGAAACGACTGTATCAATTTTAATGAAAAAAATATATGTTGTAAACATCATTTAGATAAGATGAAAAATATTTTTTAAAATTTTTACGATGAAAACAAAATCATTAAAAAAAATTTTGAATTTTTTATGAATTTTTTTTTTGTGATATTTTTAAGTAACCACTTTTATACTTCATAAAAATAATCTGTAAACTCTCTACTTTAATATATATTTTTTTTAAATTGATCGAAGTGATGGAGCATGGTTAAAAAAAACAATAGCGCAACGCCGTGCCGACTATGCGATCGCAGCCCCGGCGCGCTGCGGCGGCTGTTTCCATGGTACTATATACTAACCTTGTTGCAGTGTTGCAATATTCAATTGGCGAGTAAATTGATAGAGACAAAGATTGTATTATTGCCTACACATTTATTTAGTGAACATTATAATATAATAATGTATAATATTACATATTAAAAGTTATGCGTTTTGCGGGTTTTCACCGTGTCCAGATCCATTCTTGAGATGTCAACGTTTCGTGAACCTTGCAGTCCACTTCATCAGGGCGAGGGGCAGCCTGATACTGAGCTGTTCCTCCGGGCCGTTCCTTTTTATATTACGCTGCTTGTTGGGGTGGTGGGGATGGGTGGAAAGCAGTGTTGTGCAGTACCTAGGTACATGTACCTAGGTACATGTACCTAGGTACTGTAACTAGGTACAAATTTGTGTACCTAGTAACTGTACCGAGGTACTTTTTTTTCTGATACCTATACCTATACTTAGGTACCATTTCTTGTGTACCAGTACCTATATTTAGTTATTTTTCGGATCCACAACTGCTAAACTGAAAACTTATCATCTGAACGCAACGAACGCAACCATTGTGGTTGATTCACTGTGATCGGGGATCGGGGCCTACGGAGTTGGTAACAATGATGCGCAGCCCGAGAGAAGGTACACACATACGTACACTCAAGGACTTCGATTTTTTCCCTCGAGAATTTTTACAAATTTAGAAGTGACCACCTTTCTACATTAATGCTCACAGTCCCTGCGCGATTAACGATACGATTAAACCTAACGTCCGTGTACAACTAAATTCGATGGAAAAAAATTAAATTAAATTAAATTCATTATGTTTATTCATAATTTTTATTATTAAACAAAAAAATTATGTATGTATAAATAAAATATATGTATAATAACTTAATAATAACTTAATAAATATTACGTGCAGATACATGAAATATATTCATTATATTATCTAAGAAACAAGCTGTCGAAATTGCATTTTGACGTCAAAATAACGTTAGAAATGTCATTTTATCGCCAAAATGCAATTTATCCTCTCTTAAAATTGCCGTGTTATGTTTTTTTGATGCCTCTTTTCGTTGAGGCTGTTGTAGTCTTCCGATTTTGATGTGGTTTTGTATTCCAGGGTTTTTGGGGTCGCTGATCTCGAATCCGGTTTCAAAATTTACAAATTCAAAATGGCTGAACCAATATGGCGAACGGAAATATTATGGAAATCTTAAAGATCTTCCGATTACGGCCAAATTTCGTATAAGGGGGATTTAGGGGTCACTGATCTCAAATCCAAACTAAAAATTTGAAAATTCAAAATGGTTGAATCAATATG